CAAAATTTCATGGTTTTAACTCCTGATCTTTCAGGCCGTTTGGTCAGATTTTGGTCATGTTTTCCTGTTTTGTAGAAAAGAAAGAGCTGAAGAAAACATGAGATCTCCACAAATAGCGATGGAATCAAACTCACTTCCTGTACTCCTGTTTGACAGTTGATTTAATTCTGGGTATGTCTCCAGAAGTAAGAATTTAGAGCTCTTTATACTCTAAATAATGTCAAAGTAATTGTCTGGGTTTTCTGGAATTTTTTCTTTCCTTCTTTACAAAGTAGGAATGTGCATTTTCAGTACTTTGGTGGAGAAGCATAGGAGAGAGTATTAATTCTAAAAATATTTGCACAGGTTTAACTGATAGTAGTTTTCAAAAAAAATCGAGATGTGTTTTCATGTTGGGTTTTTTTGTGGGTTTTTTTTTGTTTTTTTTTTTTTTTTTTTCATAAACCCCTTTTTCTGCTGAGTCAAGAAAGCAGTGAGGTCATGGTAGGTGCATGAGAACTGACCTGAATATTAATAGACCTAACTACATGCTTTGGTGTTTCCTTAAATGAAAGCACCCTTAGCTAACCAGGATGTTTTTCCCCCCTTCTATTTTTGCAACAAACATCTGATGATATATCTTCTTTAACAACATAAATTGTGCACAGTCTTTTCTGAAAATGTGCTCTTGCGTTAGCACTACCTGTATTTGCTGCCACGGTAGTCCCTAGCTACGTAGTCTCATTGAAAAGACCCTGTGCTTTCCTAGCTTGTTTTGAAGGGTGAAAGCTCCGTTTTTTACTCGGCATTGAAATAACATTTAAGTTTGGTTTTCCAAATGGTGAAGTTGTTGTGGAAGTATTACGTGACTGCCTCAGTTCTCGAGTGTTCCTTGAAATACTGAATTTATTTCGTAAGCCCTTTGGGACAGAAACCCTCATTTTGTCTTGCCTTTGGACGGTGCTTATCCCAGTTGCAGTGTGTGATATGGGTCCTGATGCAGCCTGATACAAATAATTCTACAGCTAGAGTTAAGTTGGAAAATCAGCTCTGAGTTGTCTTTCCAGTCCTCCAGTACTCTGTGCTGAATATTGCTGTGTACATTAATTGTGTAAGGTCTAAAAACATAGTTCTGGAACTGAACATCCCCAGTTCAGGAATAATGTGGAATATTTTATTTTCTATGATAAAATGTAGTACTTGTGTTTCACTCTTGAGGCAATGTGCAACTAGGGACGGGCATGGCAAGGTGTGTTTGTGAGGAAAACAAGAGTCCCTCTAGCTTTGTGTCCATCACTCTGAAATACAATCGTGGTCCATAGCAAATTCCGATTATCATCCACAAGTGCAAGTCTGCCCTAAAATGTTGCTGTTCCATCTCCAGCTTTGGGAGAGCTGAGTGGAGGAGGGAGCAGGCTACGCTCCTACAGACCAGGACTATATATGCTAGAGGATTCCCTTCTGAACTCTGCCAAGGGTCTCGGTCTACACCAACACAACCAAGTCTGGGGTGTTCAGATTCCCAAACACACTTGGGTGCACCGGGGTTTAGTGGGTGGGAGCCTTCCCGCTGTGTTTAGTGACTAGGGGGAGTTAGATACCAGCACTAGCATGTCCGTTGGACGTGAGGAGATACCGATGCCAGCTACTAAGGAAAACGAAAACGGGAAGCATCTCTCAAAACTCATTTGTCTGGAAATTGGATACCAATTGCAGCTGTGATAAAAGCATGTCTGCAAGACTTGCAGCTTAAATAGTCATAGCTTAAATTCTTTCCTTTATTCTGCCTGAGATCAGACTGCCTTGTCTGATTGGGTTTACTCTTCTCTTTGAAAACACAGCCAGAAGAAGCAGTAGTTTTAGTGATAATTGTGTTTTGTGAGGTAGCTTAATAGCTGCTCACCTAGAAAGTGAGACCATGTTGTACATCTTACTTAGCCTAAGGTTTAAACCCATGTTCCTGTAACTATGGAAGAAGAAACTAAGTTGGCTGGGAAGGTGCTAAACTACTCCTTTCCTTTTGAGTTTAAGACATGGTACAGAAAAGAGACAATGTGGGAGGAAGGAAGAGAGGGACTGTTATTTTTGGCTAGTAAGGACAAAATCTTAGGCTTTGATTCTTCTCCAGACATGACTTAGGCATTTAGAGTTAAGGACTTGGGAATAGAGCATACTGTGATACTGTACGCAGGGACCTGGGAACAGGTTGTTTATCTCATACCAAGTACAAAATGAACATGATCTAAGTAGGAAATAGTAACAAATAATGTGAACAAAAGGATTTAGAAGACCGATATAGATTTCAAGCTAACAAAACAAGAAAAAAAACGCTTGCCTTCTAGCTTGAAGGGTTAGTGGTCCGGGAGAAGGGGACGCTACGCAGGGCAGCATCCTGAGTGGGGTCAGCAGCATCGCAGTTTAGAAACTCATTGCTTCTGACTTCACATGGATCTGTCTCTGTGTGTAGGATCCAGTCTGAGCTAGGGTTTGCATTTTTATCCTCTTCCTCAAATAATTTTCTTTTCAAATACTGGTAAGCACATCATGTTACACAGATGGAGCTTTTTTCCTTGAAACTTCTTGTCCTCAAACATGCATACTTCTGTCCTGCCAATATACGTGGTCCTACAGAGTTCTCATCTGTCCATCATCTGCTGAGGATCCTACAGCATCTCATCAGCCGTGAGGCGCTGCACCTCAGAGTTCAATTCAGCCAGACACGGGCTGCAGGAGACGAATTTGCAGCGAGTGCGTTACAGTCAATTCAGATTCTTCTGACTGTGGTCTTCCTGTGTTAATCGCCATGTTCAGTATGACGTTTTGTCTTCTTGATATCACCAAGTTCTCTTCTAAAATCATAGTTAGATGAATAATAAGATAATAGTTTTGTGGGAATTCTAGGAGAAGAATACATAATACGCATCCAGTCCTGAAAATTATGTTCTATGTTTTAAGTGTAGGGCATCTATGTTGGGTTCCTGGGCATGTTTTTGCTGCTATTATTCTTTGCTTTAATGATTAACCTAGAAGCCGTTATACATTCTGGAGTCATTTCATTGTCTTTGTGTTAATTTTAGAACCTAAGAAGATGTTACAACAACAGCTTTTTAAAGTTAGATTTCAAAACTACTTTTCATGCTACTCCATTTTTATCAGGAGTGGATTCTAACTCAGTAGATTACTCAGTTTTGATGCCAGCTCAGTTTTCTGTATGTGCTTTAGTATATGTCTAACTGAATCAAGCTACTATTCTGTTTTCCAACATTAATTCCATTTCCCCGTAGTATTATCTGCTAGCAAAAACATCTGAAAGCTTTCCCACTCTGGAGTGAGTGACATTTATGTAAGACTACTTTCCTTAAAACACAAAGTCCTACCGCTAGACATTAACTGTCAGCTTTTACTCACTCCAGTGCCGTGCTTACGAGGTTTTACAAAACTTCACTCGGTTTGGGAAGCTGGCTGTTTTGTTGCCCGATACAACATTGCTCAGATCAAAGCATTTCAGCAGTTTACTCAGACATTTCTTACAGTACAGCAGCAGGGGAAGCCTGTTGCGGAATTAGAAAGCCTGAACTGTGTTACACTACGAAATGTACTTTCAGCAAGTAGCTTCCTTCCAGTTTAGCCATGTTGGCTTCAACATGCCTGAAGTCAGGACTATACTAAAATGCTTTGAAACCAAGGCCATCGAGAATATCCACACCTGAGTCATTCATTGAACAAATATTTTGCTTGATGCAGTACCCTCAGCACCAATCTGGTGTTAGTTGAAACATTGGCACTGATTCTGGTTTCGAAACACCTCCGGGGGTGAGAAGGACCCATGCTTCGCTTCACTCCTGCAAGATCTTTGCTAGGTTGTCTCCATACGTAACGTGGAAGAGCTGCAATGCAGCCAGCAGTACTCAGCATGCAGGGCTGGCTTTTTCAGCCCCGGTCTTATCTCTAATTCTAAATTGCAGCAGGGCTGCCGAGGAGTTTGTTCCCTCGGACCCCCCTTGGGCAAAGTAGAAGCTGCAGCCCTGGGCCACCTTCTGTCATGCCAGGTGTGACACACAGAGCCTGCAAGCTCCGAACCGCTTCTCCTTCCCGCCGAGGAGGACGGGTGAGACCAGGGACGGTTTGGCAAGCAGAGGCAGTTTATTAGACGTTTGTATCTCTGCGTGGAGCCAGTTCCCAAAGCTTGGATCATGGGATGCAGCAGGGCTTTGGAAGCTCAGAGGAGTGGGCCAAGCAGCCCGTGGGGTGGCTAGTCCTCTCTCGTCCCCTCGGGCTCGCCTTAACGGCGAGCGCTCGCTCTCGCCGCAGGCCGCCGTTGGGCAGATGGCTCCTCAGGGCCGCTGGTGAGCGGGGACGAGGCCAGCCACCCGTCGGTGGGGTCCGTGTGCGTGCAGGCAGCCCCGCTCCACAGGCCGCAGAGTAATTCCCGCCGACAACGACCCCCATCCCGCGCTGTCCCCGGGCGGCATGCCCGCCGGCCGGCCAGCTTTGAAATGCGGCCCCCCGACACCAGGGGCCGGGGGGGGCCGGGCCGGGGGGCGGGC